AAAGTGTCAGTAACTTACTCTGCCTGTTAGGATACACAGCCATCCTGGGACCCTCATTTCCACACTTGGCCAATTTCAAAAGCCACACTCACAAAGCAATCACTCAGGTATTTGGGCTAATTATAACATCTATAATCATCAACAATCTTACACCATGCTTTATTTTCTAAGATAACCACCATTTTTATAATAAGGTAAAACAAATAGCTTGAAAAACTATGATGAAACCATAATTATATTCTTAATAAACAACAAAACAATTATATTTTTTTCATTTTCTTACCTTTGCCATTGGTAATACTTGATTTTTTAGTTATCAATCCATCTTTCTATGTGATACAACATTAAAGAGAAAAAAACATTTATTGGTGACTGTACTCGAAAAGATTTTGCCTTCTATGAACCAAATACAGATTTGTTTCAACCCCTTTATCTCCCGATTCTCTCATGAAAATTGTTTCAGGAACAATAGGTCTTACCAACTTTCTCGGACACCTTTCATGGGAATCTCAAATCTAACTATTTTGAAATTGAGTTTGGCATATAGCAATGTACAAATTTAAATATCCCATGTTTTATTTAAAGCATGGAGTCCATTCAATGGTCAGTTCTAAAAGTTTAGAGTCACTCAGTTTGTTTCAGGGAAAGATAATCCAATCTGCTCTAATCTAATCTAATGCTTAATGAACACATTGCTTAGAATCAGAATAAAATTCATCATCACAGAATCTCATTTTATTGTAAAAACATTTTACTGTGTCTCTCTGGCCTGCTAGACAAGGAGTTCTCAAGTGCTTGTCTCGCTTATCTTTGTATCCTGTGTGACCCCATTCTCTCATCCTCCCTTCCCTCTGGCTTAGCACAGAGCTTTGCCAACAGTAGATGCTCAGTAAATATTAGCTATGATTGTAATTGATAAATGTTTGATTAGGTTAGTTTCTCCTAAATTATAGAATGAGTTTACACAAAGGTAACTCAGCAGTATCAAGGAAAAGGGTCAGATCTCAAGAACAGACCCTAATATTTCTAAATAGTCAGTGCCCTGCTAGTAGTGAAAGAGATAGTTCATAGAGGTGAAAGTTCGCTAGGTAAATTAATGTTCACCATACAGAAGTTGGGGACATCATTTCATACCTTTTGTTCAGTACTATTATCGCGAAACATAGCTGGATTTGATGAGTTTCTGGTAATATTCTTGGTTGTACTTGGAGATTGACGATCACCTATTGTCTGTTCTAAACGTAAATGAAAGAAAAAAAACACTAGGTTTTTTTTTTTTTTAAAAAAACCCACAACACAACAAAACCCAACAACTTATTGAAGTGTGATTGAAGTATAAAAAACTGTACTTATTTAAATTAAATGATTTTATCAATTTTAAAAATGTCTATAGCTGTGAAACCATCACTGAAATCAAAATAACACTCCCAATACCCTCAAAAGATTTCACCCACATTTGTAGTCCACCCATCTGAACACTACTGCTCTGTGCCTCTCACACAATGTTATTTCACGTTTCTAGAATTTTACATGAATGGAATCCTAGAGGACGTACTCTTATTTTTTGCCTGGCTTCTTTCACTTAACACAATGTCACATGTATTAAAATTTGTTCCTTTTTCTGTGTGTGTGTGTGTGTGTGTGTGTGTGTGTAACTTTTAAGAAATACCAAAGTGTTTTCCAAAGTGGTTTTACCATTTTACATTCCATGTACCCGAGCAGCAGCATTCTCCCTCTCATTGATGTTCCTATTTCTCTCCCCCTCTCTCTTCCTCTCCGAAATCAATAAAAATATATTAAAAAAAAAAGAATGGCTCCCATGCCACTCTTAGAGCAGAGACTAGATAGATCAACCCCCACCCCGTGCCCGATAGGTACCACTGCACTTTCAGAATTCATCTTCGTGGAAAATTCCTCCCAACTAGACTTAAATTTATAGGTCCGATCCCCCCGACAGTTGTCCCAGCTAGACTGGCAGCCTGGTGAGGCTGAAAACAAGATTTTACATCTAGCATCTTTCGTTCAGTACCACTGAGTTTGTTTTTATAAATATCAGTAAGACCAGCATGAGCTGCATTAAACCCCTGAGTTTGAGAAGATCACTGTGGGTGAGATAATTGCTTTAGACATTGAGAATTTAGATGCAGTGTCTACATTTTAGTAGACATGGGGCCAGTGGTGTCATCATTGTGTGTGTTGTAAGACCCCTTTGGTGTTTTATACAAAAGTCTTTGGAATTTAAAAGTGGGATCTGCCCTAGCTGGGTTGGCTCAGTGGATAGAGCGTCTACCTGTGGACTGAAGGGTCCCAGGTTCGATTCAGGCCAAGAGCACATGCCAGGGTTGCGGGCTCAATCCCCAGGAGGGGGTGTGCAGGAGGTAGCCCATCAATGATTCTCTCTCATCGTTGATGTTTCTCTCTCTCTCTCTCCCTCTTCCTTCCTCTCTGAAATCAATTAAAAATATATTTAAAAAAATAAAAGTGGGATCCATGGAGCTTCAAGATGTATGACCTCGTCCTCAGTGGTTCTGAGTGACACTAGGCTGCCCCCAAGGCAGCCCTGTCTCTTCCCAGGTTTCTGAGTCCTGATGAGACTCATCGAATTACAGGCTCAGGGAGGAAAGAGTTTGGATTTTATTCTTTAGATGCTAACTGATAAGCACCCAGGGACTTAACTGTCACATGTTACTTTCCCCCAGAAATTTAATTGTGGGAGGAGATCAATGTTCCATTTTGAATCGTCTTGTACTTTTGATCATGAAACATTTGGAGCAGTGGTCACCAACTGGTGGTCCGTGAGGTCCCAAAGGTTGGCAACAGCTGATTGGAGGATGTTGATGCTGCTGCTGGGTTCAGGTGAGCTCTGACAGACACGTGACATAGTGTGGTATGAGATAAATAACTTCACGGTGGCTTTGCAGTTCACGTACTTAATTTATGACTCACTTCAGAGTTTCCTAAAATCGTTTTGAGTATTATACAATTATTTTTCAATTTGTTAGGTTTCCTGTACCATTTGTTTAATGGCGCTGAACCTTCACTGAATTTTTCTAAAATGATGCTATCGTGTTAAGTTTGAAACACTAAATCAGTAGTTAGAGATCAAATTCTGGTAAGAAACCCTCTCAGCCAGTCATTGGACAACAGAGAATAGAGGATGTATCTGCATTGAAGCAAAAGGGGCGTTTAAAGCCAGCCTTTTCCCAAATTACTCTTTAGTATTTCTTATCTCACTAATCAATTACCATAGCCTCCTTTATGTGGTTTTTGGTCGCCAACAGTGTAAATTGTCTTTATGTCTTCAGAAGCCTTCTTTTTCCTCATTGGAATATAAGCTTAAAGAAATGTAAGAAAACACTTATTTTCAATAATGGTGATGACAGAATTACCCAAGATAGACCCCTTTTCCTGGCCTGAGGAATTACATTCTATGCTAATTTCCAGTGGGGCAGCGGGGAGGCAATGAGGAGCTTGGGAGATGTGGAATGGAAGACAGACAAGAGCTCTTGAAAGAGTATCCCTTCTGATGAAATGAGGGACAGAACCCATGGACCCGGACAATAGGGTGGTGAAGACCTGGGGGTTGGGTATGGGGCTGGGTGGAGGCAGGTAAATGGGAAACATCTATAATAATTTCAACAATAATACACACACACACACACACACACACACATATAATAAAAAAGAAGATGTGATATATATAAAATATGGACTATTATTTAGCCATAAAAAAGAATGAAATCTTGCTACTTGCAACCACATGGATGGACCTTGAGGGCATTACACTGTGTAAGATAAGACAGACAGAGAAAGGCAAATATCAGATCATCTCTCTTCTGTGTGCGATCTAAAAGTACGTAAGCCAAGTTCATAGATACAGAGAACAGGTTGGTGGTTGCCAGAGGCAGGGGTGGGGGGAGGGAGATATGCATGAATTATTATTTTTTTTAGTTTAAATAAAAAAATAAAAAATAAATAAATGGGAGCCAGTGTTTTCTCCTGGATGAGAGCAGAGGCTACCCCAGCTCGAGTGGACAGTGTAGTTTCCTGTCTGTGGGGAGCGCACCAGCAGCCCAGCATGGCCACTGCAGTCCTGAGACGTGCCCACAGCCCAGCACAGGCAGCCACATCCATACTTACCCCTTATTTGTGACAGAGAAGGTCCTACTAGCTCCCGGTCCTCACGGTGCGCTCAGGGGGTTCGTTAGAGAGATGACAGCAGAGCCATCTGTCCCCACCGGAGCAGATCCCCTCAATAGGCCCTTCCTGGCCTCTCTGTGCCCCTGGAGCCGTGTGCTTGGTGGGGGACGATATGACTACCGAGCTATGCTTTCATGTCATCTGAGAAACATGTTCTGTCCTCTGTTGCCTCCATAGCATATATTCACCTCTAACCTACTTCTTCACAAAAGGGGGATTTGAGGTAACAAGGGTTTAAAATGCCCACTTGAAGCTCCTT